GAGGATGTTGACTTGATACAGGAATCAAGAAACATTGTAACAATAACATAAAATGCAGTGTACCTCTGGTGGAGGACGCCCAAGCCGACACAGTCCAAGGATGACCATGCCCACTGAAAGCAAAGGCAATTCATCGGCTTTAGTGTGGAGGCAGACCAAAAAGCACATTCAGAGCTTTGATCGCAGATTGTACCACTCTCGGAATTTTGTCTTCTTCATACATAATAAATTCCACCAGACGAGCATGTTCTCTACCAGTATGAATCTTTGTTAACATATTGGCAAGATTTGTTTTGGTTCCTTCCCAAGCAACTCAAATAAGATCACTTGCACATTTTGAACAAACATAATGATAAGCAACAGAATTGCTTTTCTTCTTCAAGACAGATTCTGGGCGACTTGCGTTCATCACAACAGAGTTGTTATCAACAAGAGTATGGCAATGGCCATCAATTGCAATTTGTATACTAGACCTTCAACCAATTCAACAACAGTCTTCAATGCAGCAAATTCACTTCCAAAAGAACTTGTTTCGACAGCATTCTGCTTCTTCGAATACCAAACAATCGGTGCATGATTCAAGAGGATAAGAACACCTGTTCTGGATTGACGTGTAACAAGATTGGAGGCATGTGAGGCATCAACAAACATCACAATCTTTACCGCTCGTCCAAGGGCTTCTGGCATATCGGGAGGCACTACTTCTTTTGCCCATGGATAGAATTCATGCCATTCAGATTTTGGTATGTCGGTCAGAGCCATATATGCGGAATCCATGACAATCTCGCGGCTCAGATGTGTTTCAAGATAACCAAAAAGGTGTAATACCGCATGAAAGTGTCCAATATGAGGCATGGCATTGTACAAAGACATCATTGAGACTTCAGCACAGACGTCCATTCTTCCAAGCTCAACCAACCACCGTAATATTCCAATCAGTTGCATATACAGTGTGTGTGTCCTCGCTAGGATCAATAACACCAGCAGCAAAAGCATCTCGACGTCTATCAAGGGGTGGCATGGAAATTGTTTTGCCCAATGCATTGGCAGTGGCACCGTCGCCCTCTCCAGTGGGATTTTCTCCCATGAGATCACCACCAGGCACACCAAGACAAAGGCGGCAACGCCGCCGTTCTTCCATGGAGGGAAGGAAGCAATTTAGCAGTGGCTCTCTTTCGAAACCATCCATCAATCCTCGTGCCTTGGTGATGTTTTCAGAAACAGCAGCGCTGGACTTGAACTCATCTCCTCAAAGGAAGACGCGACCGAGGATGGCATCACGGCAATTATCGCTTCCAGAAAGAGTGGCAATGCCGCAAGAGGCTATGGAGGAGTTCCCACATTTGCCCAAAGAATCTTGGTCTTTGCCAAAAATCAAGAGTTTGACTTTGCCTCAACAAACAAGATCCGCCCATCGCCGCACAAGAAGTATTCTAGAAACGGCACCCCCCAGCAGACGCAACTCTCGCCCCGACTTCTTTTTGGAAATGAATGAATCAATGGGCGAGACTAGTGGTAAGAGTGGTCGCTTGAATTACAATCATGACGATGATGATTGCAGTGACTTTGCTGTGCAACAAAAGCAACGCTACATTCATCCGGAGATTCAATCCACACCCCGCGCATCTCATTCCAAACCACACAGCAACCGTCAACAACGCCGGTATTCAATTTCAGAGACTATCTCAACTGGCCAGGGGCTAATTGTTTACAAACCGAGTACTGAAATCTCGTCGGGTAGTACAAATTGTAGCAACAAGAGACAACAAAGTTTGCAATTTCCTCGAGAGAGTCTTGGTCCGCTGGATTCCGATGCACCCAAGTGGTAGGCAGCGGTCTTGTTCTGCTGCATTGCTATGATGTAACCGATTGTATGTAGAGGCATGTTCAATAGACACATTGAGTCTTAGTGTTCTATTTTGATTACTACTGTTGTCCAGGAACGGAAAGAGTACAGTATGTGGTGTATGCTACAAAGAGGAATTCAATCTTGAGGGTACCGCGGCCTACCGGTATCTATCTACCTACCGGTAAGACAGAAGTAGAGCAGAATGAAGGCAGTGATTTGCAACGGATGCCATGACGACAAAACCAAAAATTGTAGTACTGACTTAGATGAATATACCTACAAAAAGCTGATACTATTTATAATTGATTACTACAGTATGGTTCTACTGTATGAGCATTTTTTTAATTGTGCAGCAAGACTGGAATATCTCAATTGGTGGTCGAATGAGTGAATCATCATGCTTTGGAGGTGCGTCTAGGAAGTGCTTGAAGTGGTGTCGTTGTTGTCGTCCTGTGAAACTGAGTCTGCTGATTGACAAAAGCTGAAGCAGTGGCGGAAGTCCACTTCCGCCATTTGTGTCCCTGTGACAAGGCCCTTCTGACTCCCAATGGATCCGTACTAATGATACTGGGATGCAATGCCATGGGTTCCTCGACGACAATTTTGGTCGACAGATAACCCCAACAGTAGAATTACTGCATTGGACTGAAACGGAACCAAAAATTTCCAAACATACTCCGTAGTGAGATAACAACATGGAACTCTGGCAAATTTCTGGTCAATAATGTGGTACGACTGACTCTTAATTGTGGCCGTCATTTCCTTGTTTCAATGCCATTCTGTGAGGCACAAACTGTGCCAATCGGTGCTGTGGTGTACTGT